GAAGAACTAGTAATGGTCTGTGCTTTTTCTCCAGGAGGTTTTCCTGGAGTCCACAATGAGTTCAACCTATTTGCATTAGCCATTAGGATTCAGTGTGGTTTGCCTTGTTGTAGTGGCAGATAAGTTGAGAATGATTTCATTATTCCACAGCTTATAGATAAACATGAAGCTTGCATTCTGCCCATATGCAGTTATGATCTGTCATTTGAAAATGACATTCATTATGACACAGGTGAAATGCAGAGCTCTTGCTGGCCCACCACTCATTCATACCTGCTCTCGTCACTGTTGCTTCTGTCCACTCCTTTCAGCAGAACAAGTTCATTACTAAATTAGGATGGTATCGTCCCGTTTAATAGCTAGCTACATGATCTTGTAATAAAAAAGCACAGTTGTCGCAGTATGCCTACTATCGTCTTCGGTCTTGTCATAAATAGAACCTTGGATCTCAAGGTGGGGTTGTCCCATAAGGGTAAGAGTAATCCTGATGGGCATTTGGGAGAACTTGCTGCTCCCTTGGTTTCAGACAGGGACACAATCATAACATGAACTTGCCTAGTAAGGACTGACTGTCCTTCCATTGAGGTCCCTTGCCAGGACAGGCTGATTGCTGGGTCAGGAGGAGTACGTTTTCTAACCACACCCATTGTTCCTGTGACACAGGGACATGCAGTGGCCTCCAGAATGGAATTTGCTGTGGGAGGGGTTGCTGTGTGAGCTTTTGTTCTGGCAAATGTGCCGACTTGTGTCCCACACCCACAGCAACTCAGGCAGGGGGGCCAAGGAACACAGAGGGCAGCTTTAGGACCACATGAAGAGGCTTTGCTGGAAATTGCCATCCTCATCTTGGAGAGGCACTGACCTATCACCAGCAAGGTGGGCTCTATCGTGTCCCTTCTGCCTTGACTGCTTGTCATCTTCAGGCAGATGTTGATCTGAGGATGAGAACACCAAGGTGTGTCTAGCACGATCACTGGCATTCCTCTTAGTGGGGAGACAGAGGAGGGAGGGCCCCTTTGAGCGTCATAGTGTGTATCCCACAGATGTCTCTCCCTCACGTGGGTGTCTGGTGTGGCCCACGACCTGCATGACTATCAGCTCACTGGATTTTCTCAGTAGCTGAGGATCTGGCTCTCTTGGGAAGCCAATGGTGCAGGCGAGGATCACAGCTTCCCAAGGGTGCCCATTGGCTTCTCACTGTGGCTGAGGCAGCGATGCTATCACGTGGGCCTCTGCCTGAGAGCCACAGTGAATAACTCCCAGATGATGGCTGAACTTGTGCAAAAGGTGAGAGGGAATGTCTACACTGCATGCTGGCTGGAGACTGCTGACCTAGCTGGCAAAAAGCTGCCTACAGGAGAAAGGAAGGAGCCTGTGAGCGTGTCTATAGGCCAGGCCTCTTGGTTTTAAAAATCAAGGATGGGTCTCTTATATGCTTTACCCTCAAAAACATAAGGGGCTCAGAGTGTGCTGTGCCAGACAAGATGTCACCATACTGCTCAGCTCAGATCTTGGCACTCAGTGCCCAGGTCTCTGGCCTGATCTCTCCTCTTGGGTTCACCAGGATGCTTAGTGGCTTCAGATCTCTGCACTCCTCTGCCTGTGGCCAGGCAGTAGGTCAAGGTACGTGTGCTCCACAGGACCGAGCCCATGGTTTCTCCGCCCCTAGGTGACCATCTACAAGCTATGGTCTGGCAGATCTCCTTGGCTTTCAATTCCCCGGACGAGGTATGTGTTGCCAATGCTTTTGATGGCATGAAGCAACTTGATCACATTTGGGTGGTCCCAGGTTTTCCAAATGCCCCTTGAGAGGAAAGGAGCTCATTTTGCTCAGCATTTGACACCTAGATTTAGATTAGTTGGCAGGTATACACCTATCCACGCTGACCCTGTCTGGTGGTGGTGTGGAGAAGCCTCTAACGATGGGACTCTTTTCCTCTTTTCATTCCGTGTCCAGTTTTTCTGTCGACTCCTCACTTCTTTCACTAGAAATCCTCAGCATCAATACCAAGACCAATGCCGGGTAAAGAGAAACTGGAAGGAAAAGAAACAGGTAAAGGTCTGGTTGATGACACTGGTATATTCCCAATCAGAATGATGAGTAGTTTCAGCCCCTTTCTGACTTATGTCCATTTTTCCGCCCTTAACAAGGAGAGCTTGAAGGTCCTAATGTACCACTGTTCACTCTGGTCATTAACCTAAAGTGCTGTAGGCAATGAAAAGAGCCGGCCTCTCCTGACAATTGTTAAACTGTGTTTTAAAATGTGAACCCTGGCCAGTGTATGTTTGTGTCTGGTAGTTACGGTCCTTCTCTTGCCTCCCTGTGAAGGAGCTCGGGCATTAGGTGCCATCCACAGTGGGCAGTGTGTGTGTGAGGCTGGATGATCAGAGTGTGCTTGTGACCAGACTCATCCTGAAGGGAGGTAGGGAGAGAGAGGCCAGGTCTTTCCCTTTGCCTTGTCCTTCCTTCTCCAGCTCCCATTGGCAGCATCCTTGCCCTGATTGAACACTGATGAGGCATGCCCTGCTGAGGTCCTGCACATCCTCCCCCCTTAGCCACAGGTCAGCATGCACAAGCGGCTGCCTGGCGAGGGTATAGGGGAAGAACATGGGCAGCCTTAAGTCTGCTGGGGAAGTAGCAAATGCTAGGGGATTGATGACCAGGACTCAAGGGCTGGCTTACCCAGGACCCTGTTGGTCAGAAATATCAGAGAACTCTTCTCATAGCAGCTAAGATCACAAAAATGTCTCGGGTACTGTTCCTGACCATGTGAGTGATGGAAGGCCCAGAGGTGGTGACAGGAGCGATCCGTTGCTCTTTCATCTCCCAGTTCTGCAACAACCCCAGGCTGCCATCTTGTAGGACAAAGTCCATAAGGTCTCCATGATTGCATTTTCCATGTGAGGAGACGCGGCCATGCTTTGCATCATTGCGGTTGAAGGATCCCAAAGTTTTATGTCTATTTCACTTGGTTTAAAGGATTCTGCTCTAACTTTAACATGATTTTCTCGACAACTTGGGTCTTTGTGAGTTAGTGGCAGGTCAGTTTGACCTCAGGATACTTCCGTAAACCCCCTCCCTAACGGTCTGGAGGAACATGTTTTGGCCTCATGTCCTCTCAATCAGAGGAGGTTTTCTTAACATTCACTTCAGCTTCAGCTGTTTGCACGACACATCAATGACTTTCCGGTATGATAGATGTGTTATGGAGAATGATGTAATTGTCCCACAGTGTGTAGATGTATGTCCACTTTGTACTCTGACACTCACCTACATAGCTACCAGTATGAGGTGTCATTTGGAATGACATTAGTGGTGGCAAAGATGAAACCAAATGCAGAAGCAGAGCGGGCCCAACATTCCTACCTGCTTTTTGGTTGTTTTTGCTCTGTCTCCTCCTTTTGTTGGAAGAGGTAGCAATTTCATTCCTGCAGTAGTAAGTGATAACACTGATCATCCTGGTCACTGTTTTCTGGTTTCAAGTCATGTCATGAACAAAACCTTGGCTCACACAATTGGGTTGTGCCCTGAGGACTGGCGTTTGTCATGACACACAGGACCTCAGACGATGTCATGGCATTGGGAGAGCTTGCTGCTGTCTGGTCTTGAGTAGGAGACTCAGCCACTCCCTGTAGTGCCCCAGAGTGGCGCTCTGGTGCCCAGCGTGGGGCTCCCATGCAGAGGGAATGACTGTGTGAGCACATTTCTTGTTAGTTTTCAGGCTACGGTTTATGTCACAGGGACTGGGCTTGGCGCCAGCAGCAGCTACCCCAGGGGAGATAGAGTTTTTGAGCAGGTCCTGAGGGAGAGCAGCCAGGATGTTCTGGCTGGTACTCAGGCTGGGCTGTCTCCGGGACGCAGGGGGGAATGTGGATGACCACACAGAGAGAGGAGAGTGTGCTGGAAACTGGTGTCCTCATCTTTAGACGCCATTGAAGTTTTGCCCTCATGGTGGCTGTTTTCCTACTCTTTGGCCTTGACTGCTTTTCATTCTCAGGTGGCTCCTGATCTGAGAAATCAAAGGTGGGGAAAGGCATCATCACCTTCCTGGAAGTAAGAGATGCTGCAAAAGGTGCGCTGTCAGCCAGCTGATGCCTGACCTGGACACGAGAGGCTCTCCCGTGACCCCAGTGTCTGGCTTCCGCCAGGCGCCACGGTGCCATCACCTAATCAAGTTTTCTTTCTTCAGAGAGTCCGTGTCTCTTGTGCAGGATGACGCATGCCCCATGTCACGGCCACTATCCCCAGCATTGCCTGTGACTATTTCTCCTCTTGTGGGACCCACGGGTGCCATACATCTTGGGCTCTCCCACGGGCTTCTCCTTGGTGTCTTCGGTTAGTAACTGATGAATGATGTTTGAATTCCTGCAGAAATGGAATCTGAAAGTTTCCATGTTGCAAACCGCTGTTCCAGCTGTCCAGAGCTGCCTCCAGAAACAGAAGGTCCTGTGTGACCATGTTACATAAGATAGCCCACAGGCCACAGGTAGCAGCCACAGGCCCATCACACATTGTGCCTTGGAGTAATTTGGGGGCAGCCAATGGTTCCTTGTCTAGTTTCTGCTTGTCTCTACACTCACTACTAAGCCAAAGTCACTAACCTTGGCATTGCCTCAGTGTCTAACAAAATGCTGTCTTGTTTCAGCATTGTATTTTCCTATGCCTTTCTCAGGGCAGTAGCGCCAGGCACATGTGAGCTGCAGGGACACTGTCCCAGACACTTCCACCGGGGTATGGGGAGATGGTCTCAAGGACTCCAATTTCCTTTGATGAGAAATAGTATCCTCGTGATTCAATTCTATTGATCCACAAATGTGACCAAAGTCACCTTGGAGTGCTCCAAATAGTTCCTGATGTTCCTTTCAGATGTGGGGTAGGTGGAGGGATTCTGCTCTACCTCTGTCAAGCTTTTCAGGGTCACCCCGGCCTTGATGACTTTGTAGTGGGCCAGGTTGACTTTGGGGACAGTGTTCTCCCTGTAGTCTGGAGGATCCTGTACCGATCTGCGATTTCTCCTTGTCAGAAGATATGTTCTTGGGTTCCTGCCTCATTGCTCCCTCCTCTCTTCTTTCCTTTTAATCCTCCTTACCAACACTATGTAAAACTTCAGGAAAATGGGAGCTCCATAGAACACTTAAATCACATGCTTTACTTTTTTTTGGCGTTATTCCTGTTAAAATAGTGATAAGAGGCTTTGCAGTTTGGTAGAAGCTCTTGTTGTAATGAGGATAACTTGGTGGTTCTGAGCTAATTCTGCCGATCATAATTACAGATGTTTCATTTGACTGCAACAAAATACCTGGCTGTTTGCCAATTTCTAACGTGTTTTGGTTTTCTCTGGCATTGTGATCGTGGCTGGTCTGAGCTGTTTGTCATTTCAGTTGTGATTCTTCTCTGGAGTGTATTGTCAGAATTACAGTGGACACCTCTAGAAAGTACTTGTTAGGAAACAGTTCTCCTTTCAAGTCATCTCCTTTTGTGGAAACTTTGTTTGTAGTGTCCTTATACAGCTCTGTAAGTGTTGTCTGCTGACATTCTGCAAATGTACAGCTTCTACCAACAGCCACCAGAACCGCATTTTTGACCTGCTCAGACATCACCTATAAAGCAGACACAATTAGACCCAAGGATGTGTGCCAGGTAAGCTCAGGCTAAGAGACTGTTCTTCTAAGGTTCTTTGCTGCTTAAATTTGGCCAGAACACAAGTCTTCCTGGCAGGTTCTCACATGACCAGTGTGTCCTTCCTCTGTGGCAGAGGATAACAGCAGAGCAAGGAGGACGTGTTTTCCTGGCAATGAGGAAAGACCCACTAGGACAAATCTCATCCCAGTGTGTGGGGGTCATGAAAGGCAACCTCAGGCTGGCCGGCCAAGATACCTTCAGACGACACCGTTTAGAGACAGACAATGTGCACAAGAAGTCTTATACATAATAGGCAGTTGTCTGACTTCTTAGTGGAGTCACTGGTGCCAGCCCTTCCTGAAGTCACTAAGGCTGAGTTGTTATCAAGCTGCCTGGTGCTCAAGCCCATGTTATGTATGTATTCTCCCCTGCATCTGGTGAGGGATTCCCACCTTGCCTCTCTAGCATCTGCTGTTCCTGTAGCACCAGGAGAAACCCTGTGCCCTCCCAGTGTCTGGGCATTGCCAGCCTCTTAGAAACAGGAGGGCTGTCCAGTGGAATCCCCTGCTCATACAATGCCTGGCAAGGAGATTGGGCACAGGGACACGTGTGGCAATGTGTCTTCTTCCTTGGTCTATGAACACCTGTCCCTAGAGGTAACCAGTGCCCTAGACACCATAGCCCAAACCGGCACCCATATCCAGGCACACATCGATGCCCTAGCAGACATGATCCTACAGAACAAGAGGGTTTTCAGGGGAGCCTGTGCAATACTTGGGGGAGGTGGCTGATTGGGAAGGTGCAGTCTAACTCTCACTCGTTATCCTACCTGGCCTCTCAACCATCTCTCCACGATAGTTCTCATGGGAAAGCTCCTGTCCTTGGGTTTCCTGGCTCCTCTTCCTCAGGACCTTGCATTGCCCTCTTACTCTTCCTTACTGGGCTGTGCATCCTCCATTTTCTCACTGTACTTTCCTCTCATTTCCAGGCCACACAACTACAAAGGATGTTACAGCATGGATTCCATGCAGTGCCATCCATTTCCTGGTGCCCCTCATCCACCTGGACCAAGGCTCTGTCCAGTCTTATTCTAGAGCCCGGTTAGCCCTGCCATGGCCTCCCAGACTACCCCAGTCCCCTCTGCCAGAACAACAAATAAATAGGTAGGGACATCTCTACGGCCCTGCCCAGCTTGAAGCAGTTCCAAGAAGAAGAGACCTCCGTCCCACTGGAACCAGGACTAGTTTTGTTGCTCTGTCAGGGGGTGGGGAGTATGGAGGACAGTCCCTCTTTTAGGGACATGGCAGAAATAAAATGCCAATGGCCAGGTGGGATGAGAATGTAAGGGTTGAGCAGATGACATGTTCCTGCCCCTGAGAAACTCAGACCATGGTCCAATGAAGAAAGAAGCCATCACAGAATACTTTGTGGGCTCTGTGAAGCGACCTCTGGCCTCATCGGCGCAGCTGAGACATTTCTCTTGTTAGGTTCCTCACAGCCTCCCTTAACCAAGGTCTCAGTAAACCTTGGCTTTTCTGTTATGTTGTGTCCAGGAACAATTTTTGCCAAAATCCATGATATTCCCATCTCTCTTAACCCAACACAACTCCCTGAATGTCACCTGCCTGACACCTCTCTTCCACCTCTACCTGCCCTGACACCACCCTACCTCTCCCTCCACCTCCTGGACATTTTTCCCCCATAACTGTCATCTACCTACTTCTCTGCCCTCTGCTTCCATGACCACCACATACCTCCCATGAATTCTCCAACTCCCTGACCCCTCCCCACCTCCTTCACCTCTCTACCTAATTCCACTCAACCTCACAGAATCTACTCCCTCTCCTTAATTCCCCCCATCTCCACACTTCCTCTGTACCTCACTGACCTTCCTCCCTGATCAGTGCCCATTTCCTTGACCTCTGTTCCCCTTCCTGAACATTCCCTGCTCACCCCACTCTCCTCCCAAGTCCTGTCATCCCGTGCCTACTTCCTTCACACCAAAGTCCTTAACCCCTCTTTTAGCTCTCTGACCTTCACCTCTGGGACCCATCCTTGCTTCCCCAAAAAGCACAATTAACTCAGTGAAAATCTGATCAAAAATAAATAGGGATAAAAAATGAATATGACTTTCAGGGGAGTCAAACTTCCCACAGAGCTGATTTAAGAGGTAAAATTGGGGGCTGGCTGGGAAGGTGGCTCAATGGTAAAGCTCTTGCCTTGCATGCATGAGGCCCTGGGTTCGATTCCTCAGTACCACATAAGCAGAAAAGGCCAGAAGTGACACTGTGGCTCAAGTGTTAGAGTGCTAGCTTTGAACTGAAGAGCTGAAGGACAGAGCCCAGGCCCAGAGTTCAGGCCCCATAACTGGGGGGGGGGGGGGGGGGGGAAGGGGGTACGTAAAGTCAAAATGTTAGAAAGCCGGGTACCGGTGCCTCATGCCTGTAATCCTAGCTACTCAGGAGGCTGAAATCTGCGGATCAGGGTTCAAGGCCAGCCTGGGCAAGAAAGTCCTTGAGACTCCTATCTCCAATAAATGACCAGAAAACTGGAAGTGATGCTGTGGCTCAAACGGTAGAGCACTCACCTAGAGCTGAAGAGCTGAGGGACAGCGCCCAATCCCCATGACTGATTTAAAAAAAAGAGACATCTCTATTTTTAATTTCATTCAAGAGCCCCCAGTATTCTCTCAAACTCGCTATGTGGGTCAATATGGTCTTTGCAAGTGCACCGTAACTTAGCTACAAAAATCATTCCTCAATGGGAAATTTTTAATATTAAAAGTCTAGGTGAGGGGCTGGGAAGGTGGCTCAGTGGTAGAGCGCTTGCCTTGCATGCATGAGGCCCTGGGTTCGATTCCTCAGCACCACATAAGCAAAAAGAAAAGAGCCAGAAGTGGCGCTGTGGCTCAAGTGGTAAAGCGCTAGCCTTGAGCTGAAGAGCTGAGGGACAGCGCCCAGACCCAGAGTTCAGGCCCCAGGACCGGACCCAAAAAAACAAAAGGTCTAGGTGTTTATAATAAGTACTGTTTTAGAATACTTTAATACTTACAACCAAAAACAGTCATCTCAGGGCCACTTAATCAATTTTATCTTCTATAGAGTCAAATGCTTTCAGTGCCAGCTCATTATTTGCCTGTTTCAATCGGTATCTATTTGGATTAAAATTTCTGCTTTCACCAAGGAGGAAGTCTTCATCTTCACCCTGTTCTCTCACCATGTTGTTTTTTTCCCCTAGGCAAAAGTTCAAAGGGTCACAGTCCCCCCTCTGCTGGTAGGCAGAGAGCTTGGGTCACTGCCCCTTGAGGAAATGGTGCTGCTGGGTACTAATTCCAAATAGTTGCTCCATCCGATTAGCTTTTCTCTCCTTTCTTGCCATTAACTCCATACCATCTTTACCGGAGTTAACCATACTGTCTTTTGGCAAGTTTACAAGGCTAACTTTTTTGACTACACAGATTGGATTTCCCTGACGTTTTTCCAAATGAAGGCACATAACTTCCAAACGAAAAGTCATTTGGAGATGCTGGACTTCTAATGTTTCCTGGATTCAGAGCATCTCCTTTTGGTGTTGCAAAGGTGATGTGCTGCAAATGATGTTCATTGAACGATCTCCCAGAGGATTCAGGGGACATGTTTGTTTTAGGGCTCCTCACCAGGGTGAGCAGTTTTGGTTCTAAATCAGGGAGCAAGGGCACAGAATGATGTTTCCAGTTACAAGAATCTTGGAGTTCTTTGTTGATTTTGTTCAGTTTAGCAAGGAGCATTTCCCTCTTCACTTTTTCCTTCTTCCTCTTCTTCCAATTTGTCAACCTGTTGAAGCTGATATAGTTCCATTTGGCCCTGTCTACTTTCCAACTCTGGCTTTTCTTCTCTTTCAAGTAAAAGGCATCTTTTCATCTTGCTTTTTGTCAGCCTCTTCTCTCACCCATTCATTCTCTAGTTTTTCCTCCTCCTGCTTTAGAATGGGCTCTCCTTGATCTTCATCAGATTCTTCTTTCTCTACAGGTGAAGGTAGAACCATGGCTTCCTTTATGTTCCTCTTGCTCTTGGGACTCCAGGTTCTATGGTGAATTTTTAAAGGCAAATCCTGGTTGTAGCAAGATCTATATGGCCGGGGTCAGCAGGAACATTTAGCATGTAACTTGTTTTGCAATTTTGAGCAGTTTCAGGTTAGTGCCCCCAAAGATTGATTGGGACAGGTAGTATATAAGGAAGTGGCTATTCTCAGCTGCCTCTGCCCTTCAGGGGCCTGTCATTCCGGCATCTTTGGTAATAAGGCATCGATAATTGTCTGGCTAGTTCCTGCTGGACAGGAGCATCATGGGGCTGTATGCCGGTTGTCTAGGATGCCACAGGGGTAGTTGGCAGGCGAGTGTAAGGGTGGAGAAGAGGCCGATTAACTGTCCCTCTGGTCATTTCTTTGATGC